GAGGAGCTCGGGCCCCCCTGGGGGGCAGCCAGCCCCCCAGCATGGCCAGGGGGGCCACCTGGCCCACCCCCAGCTGCAGGAGTACGAGGGCTGCCACCCCCTGGCCCAGCAGTGCTTCCTGCCCCCCTGACACTGAGCACCACCTCCCGGGGGGCAGCTCCAGCTTCCTGCCCTCCGCCTGTGCAGAGGGAGCAAGGGCAGTTTGGTGTTGGTTGTGTCTCTTTCAATGTGCAGAGACAGAGGTGAGAGCAGGAGGAAACATTTTAGCTAAGTTAGTGGCTAAAAAAGTCAGTAAAGTTTCCTTTCTTTCTCAGTGCTTTATTCCTAGGGTGTTTTTATACCTGCCAACAAACTGCACAATGCACAGCCTGAATGACATTTAAAACTGGGTTTCCTGTGGAGGGGCACAGGGGTGCAGCCTGTTGTGTCTGAAGTGGCACAAGAACCCATCCCCTCAGTTCACACACAGCCCCTGGGTAGATGGAACTCACTGCACTGTGGTGGTCACACCCCTCCCCACTCCCCTGACTTACCCCAGAGTTTAAAGGTAGGAGGGAGAAGCTCGAGTTTCCCCTGCCATTGAGGCATCCAGGAACTGTGCAGTTCAGTTCTCACAGGCTTTATCAGATTCTTGGAGTACAAAGGCAAAGGTCATGCCCCTAATTCCTCACACAGTGTTTGTATTAGATACTGGGCAAAGAAGAGACTGGAAGCCACCTACAAGTCACCTCATTTGACATGAGCCTCCCTGTCCCAGCCCTCTTTCAGACTACTCAGATCAGGAATGGGTGGTTTTAAATGGTTTTTAACAAAAGCTGTGTGGCAGCACGACCATCCTGCTGGAATCTGCCTCCTCTTTCCAGCACAGATTTTTGTAGGATCTGCTGTTAGAATCAGTGAGGCTGCAGCTTTGAGAGATACCCCAGGTGGCAGAGCCCAGCAGCTGGCACAGACCCCTCCTGAACATGTTCTGCTCTTTTCCTTAAGGCAGCTGCCACTCATCAATTCACTAGTTTTGAGCTGCTACCACCTCTAAAGAAAGCTCCACAAATCTTAATAATCAGTTAATAACTAGTGGGATTAGAGGGGACCTGGCAGCATTCCTTCAGAGCAAGAGTGCTCGTGTCACTGCAGCAACAGCAGGACCTGTCACAGCACCTCCCATGGTGGGGTGAAGCTGCAGCTGCCACAGGTAGAGCCATACAGCAACTCACACCTGGATGTGCTTATTGTAATAAACCTTTGGATTCTTTTTTAAAAAACCTGTTTCTGTTGCGTTTCTTTTCCACCATCACCTCCCAAGAGGCCCTGTCAGGCAGGAGCACAGCTTGGTGGAACAGGCTTCCTTATCTCCACACCTCAGTGGGCATTACAAGTACCAGCCTGGCCTTGGGGCACATCTTTAACAGGAACTTGTATTTAGAGGCCAAATCATCCCTCAAGTGTCTTGAAAAGAGCTTTTTGTAAGGGTGAGTCAGTGTCAGGAGTCCAGGGGAAGGTGTCTCTGCTGAGCAACTTTCACCTTGTTATGCTTGAGCAGCATGTGAATGCTGCCAAAATGCTGAGGGGAGGGTTGTGGGCTGAAGAGCTACACAAAACTCAGTAAGCTGCTGCAGGAGGACAAGAAGGGGGGGTGTAGCTTTCATTTGGAGTTGGTTAGAAACCCATTCACAGCTTGTGCCTCATGGTGGTGTTTGGAGACACTAAGGGGGAGGGGAATTTGTCTTCCACTAGGAATAAGTCATCTATTAAAGCAAACAAGGAGACTCCCTCACTGACCTGCAGTGCTCCAGGATTATCTTGCTCCTACTCAAATCCAGCAGCTCAGCTCTATTCTCTCCATGTAGTAAGAGCTAGGAAGAAAACAGTGACAGTTCCACAGGGGTCAAATCAACACATCCATGCTCTGAGAAGTACAGATGAAGGGTTGAGCCTTAAGTTAAAGTTTTATTGATAAAAGACTAAAGGGGTCAAGTCAACATAGACCATGCTCTGAGAAGTACAGATGAAGGGTTGAGCCTTAAGTTAAAGTTTTATTGATAAAAGACTAAGGCATCAACAATCTCTCCAGGACAGGGGGGTTGGCTTTGCTATTGCACTGAAGCTTCCCTTGCCCTGAAGTCAACTGCAGGAGGCCTGTGCTCTTCCAGGAGGCCAGGCTGCCCACCAGGAACAACAAAGAGCCTGTTGCTTTGAGGCAGCTCAGTTTTAAATCCATCTGAGATGAGAACTGACACACTCCCCCCACCACCAGGATTGTTTCATAAGAATCCTTAGAGATGAGTCTCCTCTAAAGCATTGGAGGTGACTCCATGGTGTGAGCTGGAGCACCAGACCTTGTCAGCCAAGAGCCAGTGCAGCACTTCCACCACACTAAAATGAAATCCTGGAATGATCTCAGAACAAAGAATGAAGCTGTGACACCCCAGTGGTCATTACAGCCCTGGTTTTCCTTGTGGCAAGCAGCTGCCTGGGCAGGAGAAGACACTTTCTGAGCAAGGCTCCCCCCTCAGGAGGCATTCTCTAGTTATGCATTTTATTACAAGTAAATCATTACACAACAAAGTGAAGTAATGCATATTGGAAAAATACATTTTTACAATGACTCCAGACAAACGCTGCAGCTAAAATGCCATTGTTCCAAGACTTCCTTTTCTGTTTCACAGCAGGTAGTAGAAGGTCCAGAGTTATTTTGTGTCACTCATACAAGCTTTGACTTTTCCAGAGAGGAGGTTGCTGCAGTACCCAACTCTGCTGGCTACAGGAAAAAGGGGACTTGCCTATTAACATTGGCTCTACAAAATAAAACCAATCCAGCCTCGGCCTCCCAGATTGTTACGTGTTAATTAAGCACTAGGTGAGCTGTAGGAGCCATCGATGTGCAGCTCAGGAAGTCATTAAGGCATGTGCCAGCTTCAGCCAGCGACTCACGATGCTGTTAGTGCCTTCCACAGAAACGTCCTCACTCCCCACGGTGGTGGCAAACAGCAACTACACCTTCAGATACACAAACTAAAACTTCAGCCAGACATTTTGTGCTTGAGTATGAGTGCTGGGTGACTGCAGCCAAAAGGAATCTGGTCTCAGAACAAAACAGCTCCAGCAGGAACCTCCACAGGCTCCTGCTCCAGTACCCAAAGCCTGGTGTGACAACATCACTTCCCAGGGACAGGAGTTTGGTTTCCATCGACCCTTTTTGTTCAAGGCTTGGCAGACTTGAGTCTCAAGTTAAGAGATGCCATTAATGACAGCAGGGGTCAGAGGGGAGGGGGTTTGGTCACGTCTGCAGGGTGCTACCAGAAGGAAGAGCAGCTGGGTTGGAGTTAGAAATGTGTTGACCATGACTATGTTATACCAAGTGCCTCCATTCACATTTGTACCCTGCAGTGGAGCATTGCCAGCAAAACTCCTCAAAAAAAACCCTCTGAAGTCTGAGTTCAGACCAGTACCAGGCAGAGTGCAGGGAGGACTGAGCCCCACCAGCTGTTTGGTGGGGACAACCTCTTATGCTGAACTAGAACTACTAACTTGAGTTTTGGTTAAAAGTTGTGAGCTTTCCCCCTTTCTTTAACTCTGGCAGAAAGCTGTTTAGAGTTGGCTGGAAGGAAACTATCTCAAAGGCACTTTAAAATGAACAAAATTTGCTGAATTTAGTTGCTTCAAATTTAATGAACACTTCAGGCTGTACATTAGTTTACCAATAACCTTCACCTTCCTTTCAGGCTTCAGGAAGGAAGCTGCTGCAGTACTGGCTGTACAGGAGCATTACCTGTGGTTTCCCAAATCTTCCCCAGTTTCAGGCAGTTATAATTAACATTCTACTTTTAAAAAGACCCAACGAGGCAGCTTTAAACTTGCCAGTCTGTTCAGCTGCATTTTCACATCATTTCACTCCATTTTTCATCATTTAAAAGGTTGCTTTCTCTGCTAGAACTGAGCTCCCCATTCCCTTGCTCCTTCCATCAGAGAAGTCACTGAAAATGTTTGAATGCTTCAGCAATTACATGTAGTGCAGAGTTAAGTTGAAGCCCACAGGCTGTGGCCTTGGAAGAACACTCCCAGAAGGTGATCTGCCAGCATTCTGAGCACACCATCACCACTCCACAGCACTGTGGCTCCAAACAGAGGGAAGTCAACATGTTATCACAGGATACACCACAGTCAAGACTTCTTCCACCAAATGCATTCCCCTCCATCACTCCTACCCTTCAGTGCCAGAGGCTTGCAAACAGCAACACTCTGAAACACCACAAAGCAGTGGACTAGAGTACAATGTCTTCCATCATCTTTCACTCAAAACCCCCAAACTGTAGTTTGCAGTTAAACAATTCAGACACCATTATTTTTCCACCTCATTCACCTAGAAAAGTGACACCAGAGATGCACCAGTTGTGTTAGCAGCTGTGAGAGGCCAGCTGTGTTACCCAGGGCACTCTGCAGGAACCTGACAGCAGCAGACACTGAACAGTGAGGCCAATCTACATGATCAACCATCATTCTTCTCTAGTGTTACACGGGTGAAACACCAGAAAGCAGTGGTGTACAATGTCTTCCATCATCTCTTTCACTCAAAACCCCCAAACTGTAGTTTGCAGTTAAACAATTCAGACACCATTATTTTTCCACCTCATTCACCTAGAAAAGTGACACCAGAGATGCACCAGTTGTGTTAGCAGCTGTGAGAGGCCAGCTGTGTTACCCAGGGCACTCTGCAGGAACCTGACAGCAGCAGACACTGAACAGTGAGGCCAATCTACATGATCAACCATCATTCTTCTCTAGTGTTACACAGGTGAGATTCCAGTTAGAACAGATGCATGTTGGAAGGTCAAAGTGCAGATCAAGTGAGACTTGATGTGAAATTCGTTGTGCAAACGTCAGCAATTACACCCTCTCCCATCCTTTTCTTTCACAAGTTTGAGAAAAACCTCAAGCCAGTCTCCCACAGCAGCAGCACTCGGGTTTCTCTCACCTTACTCTTTAAAGAGTCACTATTCCCAGCAGGGCAACGTGCCACCAGCTTGTCCATGCTGTGCACTGGAGAGAACAGTCATGAAGTAAGTGCACAGCAGTTCCTGGAGTAGAGATGAGGAATGCCAAGCTGAGTCTGAACTGGGTTCATCTCTTGGG